TTTTTATAAATAAATTTTGCACACAAAAAAAGTCAATTGTCCCAATTCAGTTACACTTTAAAGGGACTGGCCAACTCAACTTGTGAAGGTGGAATCATCATGAAATGAATAATTCCAAGAGATGTCCACCTGAAATACCTGTATGTACATGTATAACATCAAAGCAATCAGACTTGCGGTATTTAACAATAAGTCAAAAATATTCATCAAAATGAGAAAATTGAAGATATCATCACAAAATGAAAAAATCTAAGAGAGGTCTACCCAAAGTACATATACACCAAGTATCAAAGCAATCAGACTTGTAGTTTTCAAGAAGTAGTGCAGCTGAGTTGCTGACTGGTTTGTTATGTGTGTCTTGAGATCATTACATGATTAGAACTGGTTAGTTCTAACCATTTATACATTTGGCTAAGCAGTGTGCACTAATGAGTGTTATGAAACACACCAACAATGGTGTCCTGACATTTAACTACCCTTGAATTATCAACATATTTGAATTGTTTACAGAATTCAGAAATGTGTTTTTATATAATTATAATGTAACTTATAATGCATATTTTCACTTTCACTTATACTGTAAAATACTTTATTTTCGCTTAAAATTTATTTTCACTATTTTTGCTGAAAGAGTGATTCAGTGAAAATAAAATCCAGCGAATATACTTTTTTTTCAAATATTTTACATTGAACTTTCCAAAAAACAATGAAAATAAATTCCACACAAAATTACAAAAGTCTTTTCAGCGAAAATTAATTCCAGTGAAAATAAATTATTTCACAGTAATCACTTCATTTATTCACTTTTTTTGCAGGTAAAATGATTTAAATACCAAAACCGGGGTTTTTGCTTCATTTATTGAAATTCTATGCATTGTTGTAACACTAAATTTATGTACATGATAAATAGTGACTATTTGCTGCAGTACGATATGACATCATTTCAAGTTTAAACAGCTGAAACCATAGCAACCAATTTCTGATAAATCATCATCCTTTCTCTTCAAATTGATGTTCATTATTTAGGAAGTTCAATTCTGAGGCATTCCATCGGCACTTACGCCATTCCAAGCAGTTAATCTATCCTATCAATACTTTGTATCAGTATTTTCAATACCTTCCACGAAATCTAGTATTGATCAATATGGCATTGAGACAAAACCATTTGGTTTGGGGGGAGGGGTAGTAGTAATTGTACAAAATCCATAAACAAAATTAACATTATTATTATGAGACAGTCAATGTTATTGGTCAAAGGCAGTCACATGATCATTTGATAAATATTGATATCAACTCTACCAGTGTATGTTGAAAAGGGTAAAATGATGGATGACACATTGCAATGCATTTTGCCACTGGAGGCAAATTTTGAATGTAATTCAGGAAGATACATTTTTGGTTAGAGTTACTTGGTGATGATAATTCTTAATTTTGGTTGCAGGAGATATAACTTTACACATTGTAATACTTTTGGTAGAGAAACTTCCATTAAATTACAAGCACATATGAACTAAAAATTTAATTCATGGTATGTTGGATTATAAAAGTACCGATAGAGCTTACTACGACCACAAACAC